GCGCCCAGCCCGCCCGCACCGCGCCATGGCCCCGCGCGCCCGGCGGCGCCGCCAGCCGTCCGCGCCGCTGCTGGCGCTCTGCGCGCTGCTCGTCCCGCTGCAGGTAAGGACCCGCACGGCCGGGTCGGGTTCCCTCGGCGCCGCAGCCGAGACTCGGGGGTCGGGCTGGGGGCTCAGACCTCAGCGGCAGCGTGGAGGAGAGGTGGCTGGAAGGATCTTGGGGGCTCGGGCGAGGCTTGCGGACTCCCGGCTCCGGGACACGGGATCTGCGGAGCGCGGAGCTCCGGGGGCACCCGGGGACTCGGGCGCACCTGGTAGGCTCCTCCCGCTAGCGCAGTGGGTCTCCGCGACACTCAGCGAGATCGTAAGTACAGACCGTGCCAGTGGCCCCTTCCCCCAAACCGCTACCCCGAGGGTGTGCTTTCAGTCCGCGTGAGTCCGTGGGAGCGCAGCCCCCGACCTGGCCTCCACACCCTCCCCTAACTTGGTTGTCCCTCCGTCTCCCCGGGCGAAGGTGGAGAGCTGTAGGAGAGGGGCACCGGTTGTGCTATGAAAGGTAGAATTTGGAGCTTCCTTCCGCGAAGCTGAGAAGCTTTCCTTTTCGCGTGTTTCTCCTCCCTCCTCCCCACAGACAACTCGTGGAGCGGCAGGAATTGCTTGTGCTTAGAAACCTTTGACCATGTTAGGATGAAATATGTCTTTGCAATGGCAGAAAGTAGGGGTAGTGATGAGCCGCGAGCTGTTCCTGATGCCAGGAACAAGCCTCGCAAGTCCCTGTTTCCACCTGGGCTGGACCTGGGCCCAGCGGCGATGGCCATAAGGTGTAACTGGAATGCACAGTACTCAGGGCCTTTCTGGGGGTCATCGGGCACCAGCAGCAGCCTAGAGGGGGAGGCAAATGTCAGTGTGGGGAATCTCCTCTCTGCAGGCAGATTTTCTCACGGGAAGAGCTGCCAGATCCCTAAACCCCCTCAGGGTCCATCCCCTGCCTCTACCCTAAGGAGCTGCTAGCTCTCGATAAGGAGGGAGCTTGGTTTCCAGTTGCTGGGCTGCTGGCAACTGAGGGGTCCTGCTGGTTCCGTGTGGCAGCCAAATGTTCCCTTCTGTCCCGGTGGACCGAGCTGTTGCGTGTGGCAAAGCCTGTACACGCAACGCTTCACGCTGGAGTTCCTCTGAGGGAAGGAAAAATGTCAGCGAGGTTTCTTGGCTCAGCAGTTTTAGATTCCCCTTTAAGCTCCTGTGAATGTCACTGCCCGGGGAGACCTAGCTGTATTGAGGGTGAGGAGAGAGGTTAAGGCCAGCTCAGCCGACGGTCAGGATAGAAATGGTGCCGTGTTCGAGGTTGGAGCAGAACAGCGTTCTAGTAAAGACTCCGCGAGTGTGCTCCGCGAGCGCTGAGGGGAGATGCAAGGACCTAATGGAATCGATCATTTTAAGCACTTCAAACGTTGTTTAAGGAAGTACTCAACAGGTGGGGCATGGAACTACCCTTTTTAAAAGAAAAACAAAACAAAACAAAAAACCCAAAACAGAACAAACAAACAAACCCAAAAAACCTGGATCTCCAGTGAATAGCTAGCTGCCCCGGAAAAAGCTGCCTGACCACACAGCAAAAAGGAAAAGAAAAAAAGTACACACATTGTATTCCAGTAACAAAATAGCATAGCATTTGAAACCAGCTGGTACCTCCCCTCTTCTGCATGTATGTGTGTCTGCATGTACGCGCTGCCTGGCTTCGTGGGGTGCTGGGGATGGAACCCGGAGCCTGGTACATGAGAAGACGGAATTCCGCTGAGCTCCATCTCCAGCCTTCGCACTGGCTTTTTTCACCTCAGGGTGACAAGTGTACATGCTGTGTGGGGCTGGCTTGTCAGGCTGTCTTCTTTAGAGGGCAGTAGCCCGCAACAGCTGCTGCAATGTTCAACAGAGTCACAGGTTTTTAAACCGTGTCTGTGGTCAGCAGACGAATAAATGGTGTGCAGAATCCACGGGCACAATGGGCTGACCATAGGTAGCCCGAGTTCGTCTCTCAGATCGTCCTGTCTCTAACTTCTATTTCCCTTCTGCTTTTTTTTTTTTTTTTTTTTTTTTTTTTTAGCCATTTTAATTCCATACTTTTCTTAAAATTTGTGACAGGAAAAACTTTATTTGTGAGTAGTGAGCTAGGGGTCAGACTCACAATGGTTTTCAGCCTGTGGCTCATCACCCCCCTTGGAGGTCGGTCGAATGACCCTTTCACAGGGGTCTCATACCTGAAATCCTTCGTATTAGATATTACTATTGAAAACAGTGGCAAATTACAGTTAGGAAGTAGCAACAAGAATAACTTTATGCTTGGGGCCGTCAAACACCAGGAGCTGTAATAAAGGGTTTCGGCCTTAGGAGGGTTGAGAACCACTGGGTCCACTTGAAAGTCACCTCTGTCCTTCCACCTTGTGGATCTGAGGACGAGGCTCAGTTCAGCAAGCTTAGTGGCAGGTTGTTTGCCACGAAGTGGCGGGACTTCGGTGAAGATTCACAGCGAGCATTAGTTACAGCAGGCTTCTGAGTTGACCATTTCCACTCAGGTGACTGGCCCCAGGTGCCCTTGGGTACCTTGTCTGTGTCCAGCCTACCCAGTGGAAGCCCATGCTCTCGTATATCTGTTTGCCTGTATTTGCAACTCAGATTGTTTTCAGCGCTAATGAAATTATGTCCTTAAATTTTTAAGTTTTATATTGGTAGTTTGGCTTTTTATTCACTTGCACAGTTGTCACTGAGACAGCTAGGCGTGCACCAGGTTACCTAAGGCCTCAGGGCTGATTCCATCAACGGCCACTTACAGAGTGTAAAACATGCTGTTAAGACACAGGACAGACGCATAATTAGATCTGCCCAGGTTACAGTCTAAGGGCAAGGACAATGGGAGAAGCTGTAATGGTAATAAAGAAGTGTGTAATGAGAAAAGCTCAGAGGAGGAGGGGTGAAGGGGAAGTAGGAAGAGCAGGAGGAGGGAGAAGGTGTGCTCTGTGAGGAAGAGTTTTCTCTAGTGAAGTCTTTGAAGGGTGGGGAAATCAAGCGTCAGAGAAGAAATGATCCAAGAGGTGGGTCAGGAAGAAAGCTTTCTAGGTCAAGGGGATGGTGTGTGTGGTTTAGACATAAAGGGATCTTGCCAATGAGAAACCACCAGTGTTTATGACCTTACAGATTAGCACAAGGCCCTGAATTCAGGAAACGCACCAAACAGATGAGGTATTAAACCTTTATAGTTTTGAGATAACTCAGACACGGCCCTAAGTGAGGTGGCAAAGTGGACTACACACAAGTCGGCTCTGGAAGAGCCTTTGGGGACCCTTCCAAGGAAATCCCCTAGGGTGTGGCCACACTTGTGCTCTGCCACGCCTTCTTATTTTAGCCCAGAAACCTGGGTATGGATTAGCTTTTTGTTTGAGAACATGGGCACGCAGTTAGGTGGATGGGTAGAAGATGCCTCTCCTGTTACTTCCTTTTGGCCTCCTAGACTGTCATAGGAACATTCTGTGCTTCCATCGGGGACCACGAGCTTGCCTTTTCATTATCTACCCAGCCGTTGTTCCTACACCAGGAAAACGATAACAATAAAGTTGAGTCTCTGAAGGTTGATAAATCACTGTTTTATGAGGCGCTGGAAAGGGGAGTTCCAGACTCAGATCTCTCATAGAGAGTGCTGTTTTGAGAAGGTGTAGAGTGAACTTTATTTGCTGTGGAAGTATCAGGAAAAAAGTCCCGTGTTGAATTTTCTTATTTTTGGAATGCCTAGGGGGAAAGTGAGGAACTTTTCCTCCTCAGGTGTTTGATGGATTCTAGGGATGTCTGTGATTTTTCCCTGTGACTGCTCTGATAGTTCTTGCTATGTCCATGTATCATGCCTGACATCTCCTCCTAACCTCCCAAGAACTGGTGGCTTCTCTCCTGCTTCCTGCACCTTCCTGTTCTTCACCCCCAGGGACATGCCTACCTTCACCACTGTATATCTCTGACTGTGAATTAGGCTTCTGACTGGGCAGTTTTTCCTCCTGCAGTCGCATCCTTGTCCGAGTTTTCTGTAGGCATCTCTCTGGATGCTTGAGTATCTACCGCTAGAAAGACAGTTTAAGTTCAGTTCATATTGTCTGCCCACAAACACTGAGGCCAGAGGAACCAGGAAGGAGCTGTGGGCGTCTGCCAACAGGCTTGGTCCCTCCAAAGTTGGTCAGGTGCTTTGAAGTTGGAAGTCCTGTGGGTGTTCTCTGTCCTGATTCTGAGAGATGAACAAGGTGTGTTTCCTGCCAGTGCTCCCTTCCAGGTCCTATGCCCCCCACCCCCGTTCCTCATCTCCACCCCTCCCCACCTCACACTCCCAAGGCCCTGGACTGCCTTTGTCAGTCACCACAGGGCTGGCTGGCATTGCCCTTCTCACAGCAGCATGTTCCCATTCTCTCTGACAAGCAGCCCGAAGAACCCGCAGTCAGCATGTGGAAACACATTCTTTCAGCTGGATGATGACAACCTTGTTTCTGCTTTCGTTCTGTTGGCTGCCATCAACCTTCCGCCTTTGGTTCCCAGAGGGGCTGCTCCGTGCAGCACAGGGCATTCAAGAAGTGAGGAGAAAATAGGTTAAATGCATGTGTTTATTAGAGCAAGGTCAACAGCCCTACACTGACACTGTAACAGGCTAAAAGAAACAGACCAAGGGACAGAGCCCCCTTAGGAGAGCAGAATTCTAGTCATGTGAAGAGGGAGCATTTTCAGTGTGGCGTGTCCCAACCTGAAGTGTCCAGGGAAGAGATGTGGCAGTGGAGCCTGTCTTCTAGGGCAGCCAGGAACTGCAGGGGGCTTATTGGAGTGTTTTCTGGAGCTAGTGAGGGCAGCGTTCCTGGATTCGAGGGTGTCAGGCAGGGAGAGAAGGCACTCAGGGCTTTAAGTTCGAGTAGAGATATTTAGATATGATCTTGCTACACGTGAGCCGGAGAGAGACCTGACCAGATCTGGGTTTCAAGGGGAAGGAGTAGCCAGGGCTGGTGTGGGCCAGCAGAGAGGCCTCTGCCTTGGTTCAAGGAAGAGCTACAAAAGGCTCAAATCAGGTCAGGGCAATAGAGCGAGCAG